CTGTAAGAGTTTGTTTACCAATTGTGGGATGGGCAATTCTGATTGGTCAGTTTTGAAATAATCAAAAAACTTTTGGCAGAATCTCTAACTGTCGAGATGGCATGGAAGATGAAGCATTCTACTCAGAAGAAACAGCAGAACTAGTGGATGAGGAGGAGATGGACGACGAATTCGACGCCGACACCAAGGACGAACAGTAAGCCGTATTCACTACGCACCGAAAACAACAAATCGCTCCTTTGGAAGCCACCACATAAATTAAGTCAATCACCAACTTCAACTTATTTTGTTAATTTATTTCTGCATGCAATATCTCGGCTTATAGACGAATATATCTATGTTTCCTTTTAATTTGATGTTTCGAAAGAATTATGTATGGAAAAACACTCAGCTATAAGCAGAGAATCCTTCTCTAGCTTAAATTTTCGAGATTTTGGTAAAGTTTTGTGAAAAAATCGCTCGGCTTGAATAAATAATTTTGCATGTGATCGATTTTTAAACAATATCGCCTAATCAAGATTATGGCTATTCTTCTTCGATGAATAGCGCTATGTTTCGGTTGTCTGAGCAAGAAACAATACTTGCGAACACGGCGTACACGGGGATTACATGATTGACAGTCAGATTGACAGGCCTGCATGAAGTTACGCATGCTCTCTTTCTCTTTTCTAGCTTATTTGCATTTTCCCGTGCGACGTTTTTCAATGGGCGCGATTTCGTAATGATTTGCCGTAAATATACCAAAAAAACGTATGGAACCAAATAACATTGGGATCAAGTACAAAGACATGAAAAATATGAATACTAATGAACTTCCGGCTTCGCTAAACTGTATCTCATGGGACACATGCTTCACTCACGACAATATCAATAACATTCTCACATTCTCAATGCCTTTCAAGATAAAGTAAACACAGTTTTGGATGAACACATTTCATTCAAAGCGAAGTGTGTTAAACGACAGCATCAGCCCCCTTGGTTAAATAAAGAGATAACCACTGCTATAAAAGAGCGAGACAAACTGCTCAAAATTGCCAGAAAATCAAATCAGAAAATCGAAGCAGATTGCAATCAGTTCAAACACGCTAAATGCAAAACATCAAATCTAATTAAAAAAGCAAAAAGGAATTATTTCCAGGAATCAATAGAAAAGAACAAAGGAAATACAAAAGGCATTTGGAAGACTCTAAAGACTCTCAGCGGAACGCAAATACGTGAACTTAAATAACAGAATTAAAAACAGACAATGGCACCATTGATGATCCAGTTCAAATAGCTGAATCACTCAATACGATGTTTGTCAATGTGGCTTCACGCCTAAACGTAAATAACACGCAAGATGCCATCTTTGTTCTTGTCTTAACGCACGAAACTCAGAGTTGCAGCGAATCATGGGAATGAATCCAATAGATCGCCTTACAACTTGAAACGTTGTCAGTTATATAATACCATAACGAATATTTTCAAATGAAAACGGGAACAGGCCCGTGTGGAAATGTTTGGAACACTACGGCCTTGTTATCTCGCATGCGACTGATAGGAAAACTCAAATACATTTATGTCCGAAATCTTAACGGGATCTATGCAGCCAGGCTAAACTTTCCATAACAATATTCATCTCACTAACTCCTGATGAAAAGACGCTATACAAACAAATACATACTACTACTGAAATTTCTGAGGACAATAGTACATCAACTTTAAATTAAAAATAATAATTTACATATGCAGTCGATTGAATTGTTTAACTGCGAAGGGCTCTACATGTAAATCACTGCAGGTGCAAAATACATAGCTTAGCTTCGTACCTTTTTACTCGATATTCCCTTGTCATCCGCTTGAAAGACAATGTCACATCTCCTGAAACAGAGTTCCTTATGTTCCGATAACTTTGATTCATTAAGAATTCCGAGAGTGCCCCGACATTGCACGCGCACGAACAAAATGTAGCCCCAGAAGAAGATCATGATAGGATGGAGGGATTTGATCATCGTTTATCTTGGTGCTTCCTTTGAATTCAAGGTTTTCCAAATTCTAATATCGTCTTGCGCACGCGATGGTCTCCTAATTACACGTACCAAATGAAGCATGTACCCATTCACCCACGTAGACATCGAATGAGAGGAATATTATACAATGATAAAAATATACCTTACGCACATGCATGACGCAATAATCTGAAAATTTGCCCTCAAACCTCGTTGTCATTAAAATTTTCATGAATCTCGGACGTTTTCTTTTTGTTTTTTCTGTGGGTATTTTTATGCCTCCAGTCGTGTTCTGGGAACACTTTCCTCTTGAAACTCGCGCGTCTACAAAGTGAGGCACATGGTGAAACTGGTATTCCAACGTAATCATGCCTTAGGCCGATTGTAAACGTGGCAAGAAAGAATATTATTATTAAGGTATAAATAGATAAAGAGAGTAGGAAAGTGAAGAAATATGGAGAATACGATCGTGTGGGCGTCATCTAACGACGAAACACCCATCGACAAAAAATCCAAAAAAATGTTAAGAGTTCCTTTGGCAGACGGGACGTTCTTTGCGTGATGCGTTTTAAAAGAGATAATTGCAGAAAACAGAGGCCGAAATAAGAATATGTCATATGATAGCGAAGCTATGATGTGTTGACAACGCAAATTAGTAATTCCCTTAAGATAATAAGAGATCTTGACACAGATCGAAGGATTTTTTAAATATATTAACGCCACAATTGTTCGGGGTGCGCTAGAGTATTACTGAATTGCAAACATATCTCAGAAATCGCGACCGTGTCTTTAAATGATATTGAATCTAAGGTAACCTGATGTATTTATTCTTTCCGTTCGATAATAGGTAAGGATTATTGCAATTGAGTCTTTTGAACATGTGGTAGATTTATAAACCAATAACAGATTTATTTTGAAGTAGTTTACACTTATTTCTCAATTCTGGCACTTTTTAATGCACGATTATGCATAACTAAATTCTACTAGAGTTTGCTTTCTGAAGCCATGTCAATTCTACTTCAAAGATCCCTTCACCGCTATCGGGAAAAGATGCAACGTTTAAGACCCGTTGTCTACTTGAAATCGTTTTGAAGCTTTACTGACTGAGCCTTGGAAATAATCTTTAGTGAGCTCCAAGAATGGTTTAAATCAAACCAAGAGAGGCACTTGGATCTGTCTTAATCAATATTTCGTGCAAATTCCGTTCATGTTGTATTTCCATATGAATAAAACACTTAATGAAAAACACGTTCGTATCAGTTTCACTTCTAAGTCGATTATTTTTTTCAAAACAAATTAACGAGCACCTACTGAAAAAAGGCCTTTTCTTGCTACAGTAGTTAGTCAACGAGATGACAAGTATCGTGCGTGATTGAGGCTTCGAGGGGGTTAACCGTCAGCTGTCAAAAGGCTTAAATTAAACCAAGACGGGCACTTAGATCTTTCCTGATCAAAATTATTTGCAAATTCGTACCAGTTTCACGTATAAGCTGATTATCTTTAAAAAAAAAAATTAACGGGCACAAACTGAAAAAAAGGAGTTTTGGAGGGGGTTTAACCCGTGAACTGTCAAAAGGCCTAAAATTTAACCGTGAGCAGTCAAAGAGGGTACGTTTTTACCGTCAACCGCGAAAAAAACAGCTCAATATTAAAGGTATTTCTACGATGGCCCAGAAGGCTCAACACAAACAAAAAATATACTGCAGCAAATAAAAAATATACTGCAGCAAATAAAAAATATACTGCAGCAACTAAAAAATATACTGCAACAACTAAAAAATATACTGCAGCAAATAAAAAAAATCAAAACGCAAAGAAAAAAAGTACCGCAGCAAATAAAAAAAATGCAGCGCAAACAAAAAATACTGCAGCAAATAAAATATGCAACGCAAACAAAAAAAAAGAAAACGCAAACAAAAAAATTGGAACTCAACGCCCAGGAAGACTGGGTAATAGTTTTTAGTTTCCCGCCAAAACAGCATGAACTGGAACTTGCTTTTGGTTATGGACGAAAGCGATCTGCGTAGGATTATAGAAGGATTACTTTCATCAAGGGTATGAAAATAGAGTTATTATTGATTTTGTAAAGGAGCAGCATGGTACTGTCATAAGTTCGCTGCAAACTATGGTTTCGGAAAGGCGAACAAGCAAAGGATGGAACGAGTGTCGGCGGGAGACTAAGAACTATTACCCAGACTTCCATGGCCATGGCGTTGCGTTCCAATTTCTTTTGTTTGCGTTGCATATTTTATTTGCTGCAGTATTTTTTTGTTTGCGTTGCATTTTTTATTTGCTGAGGTCCTTTTTTTGTTTGCGTTTTGATTTTAATATTTGCTGCAGTATATTTTTTAGTTGCTGCAGTATATTTTTTAGTTGCTGCAGTATATTTTTTAGTTGCTGCAGTATATTTTTTAGTTGCTGCAGTATATTTTTTAGTTGCTGCAGTATATTTTTTAGTTGCTGCAGTATATTTTTTAGTTGCTGCAGTATATTTTTTAGTTGCTGCAGTATATTTTTTAGTTGCTGCAGTATATTTTTTAGTTGCTGCAGTATATTTTTTAGTTGCTGCAGTATATTTTT